GGATTGGCGAGATGGGCTTCTGTTCAGCAGGAGAACGCAGCGACCCGCTGTGAGCACCTGGCCAGGGCTGCTCTTCTCGTTCTCACTACAAAGGCAAAGCCTCCCCCTCAGCCCGGCCTCTCTGCCTCCCCAGTCTCTTGTCTTCATGGTGGGGTGATGAGGGTCCTCACACCGGGAGAGGAAGAGGAGGAGGAGGAGGGATGGGCCAGAATGAGGGGGATCTGTTTGGGGTTTGGGGTGAAGTAGCATCTTAGCTCAGAGGATTCATAGTTGTCACTGAGTGGATCCAGTGGAATTGCCATACTGGGGTGGGGGTGGTGTGGGGGGTTGGGGGGAGAGGAATTGGGATAACATTGGTGTGCAGGTCGCTTCTGAATTATTGGAGGAAGTTCCAGGGACTGGGGTGGGGACGGCAGTAAGAAGTGGCCGTTCTTAATATAGACAATCCTCACAAGCCACCCTCTTGGGAAACATAGGTAGTGTGACCGGACAGTGCAATTTTCTGGTCCGTCCCGATTTTAAGTAATACGACTATCTTACTACTTTGGATGTAATGTTGCAGGCAGCAAAATGGGATTTGAAGTGCAAGAGATTTATTGGGGGAAGAATTGGAGAAGAATCAACGGCCGGGAGCACCTGAGTGAAGAGACAGGGGGAGAGGGACTGGGCAGGAGAACCTCAGAGGGCAGTGCAATTCTGAGAAAACCTTGTCCTGGCCACTGGGGAGGCATCTAGTCCAGCCAGGCAGGCGGGCAGGCGGGCGGGCGTGGGGCAGCTCCGATGCCCCTGCCTTGCTCGGTCATTGCCCGGGCGCCAACAGGGAAAGGCTGGTCTGTGTCCCCGGTAGCCAGGCGGGCGGGGTGGCCGCCGAGCTGTCAGTCAACTCTGCTCCTTGCAGCAGGTTTTCTCAGAGCATCCCTCCCAGTCCCGATTCAACTGCTGGTACCACTCGCTTGGAGTCTTTGAACCAGCTCACGTTTTCCTAGAAGCAGAGCCAAGAGGGGATTAGACATGCAAGAATTTTATTAAGGGAAACGCCTGTGGAGGATACAGGGAGGAAGAGAGCCCTGGCCGGTGGTGCTCATCGGTTAGAGCGTCCCTCAGACCAAAGGGCCCGGTTCCTGAGTTGCAGGTTCGATCCCTGGCCTTGCTTGGGATGCACGAGGGAGGCAACCAAAGGTTGCTTCTCTCCCACATTGATGTATCCTTCCCTCCTCCCCTTCCTTCCTTCCACACTCTCTAAAAACCATTGTTTCCCTCCCTCCCTCCCTTCCACTCCCCCTAAAACTCAATGAAAAAATATCCTCACCCCGCCCCCCCCCGCGGCGCAAAAAAAAGGGTGGGGGGAGGAAAACCCTATACAAAAGCAATGGGAGCTGTATACTTCTGGTGAATAAATCAATTCATAGAGGAGATTGAAAAATCAAACTCTGTTAAGTCACGTGTCCTGAATTTTAGCTTGGGAAATATGGTTTCTTTGTAAGGCATGTGAAATGGCGGATTTGGAATTTGAAACATCAAAGTCTGTCTCAACCAATACTTTTGCACTTCCTGTTCCAGCGTCACAGGCCCCTGGCCCTAGCTGTTTCTCAACTTCTCAACGGGGGGGTAAAGTGGGGGTCGATTTTGCTTCACCAGGGAACGTTTGGTAATTTCTGCATTTTTTTAATGTAAAAAGTATTTTTTATTTTTTTATTGTAAAAAGTATAATTTATTTTTATATATATATTTTATTGATTTTTTACAGAGGAAGGGAGAGGGATAGAGTTAGAAACATTGATGAGAGAGAAACATCAATCAGCTGCCTCTTGCACACCCCCTACTGGGGATGTGCCCGCAACCAAGGTACATGCCCTTGACCAGAATCGAACCCTTCAGTCCGCAGACCGACGCTCTATCCACTGAGCCAAACCGGTTAGGGCAAAAGTATTTTTTTAAATTGAGAAACATCGGTAGGTTGCCTCCACATGTGCCCCGACCAAGGATCAAACCCGTCACCTTTTGGTGCACAGGACGATGCTCCAACCAACCGATCCACGTGGCCGGGGCTGTCTGCAGACATTTTAGCTGTGACAGCTGGCGCCTAGTGGGTAAAGGCCGAGGTGCTACTAAACATCTTACAAAGCACAGAAGAGCCCCCGGAACAGAGAACGATCCTGCCCAGGTCGTCGGTAGTGCTGAGGGCAGAAAATGCCCTGCTGATCCTCTCGGTCCTCTTACAAGGAGTCAGGCAGCATGGCTGATTTAAATGGGCTTAGAGGGGAGACGCCCAGGGACAGGGACCGTTACAGGTACAAGGTTCGAGTGCCTAATGCTTCAAAAGAAAGGCCAACAATCAATACGCCAGTGTGTGGAATTAGGAAAGGTTTATTGATTGGGAAGGTGCCAACTGAGAAGATGGGAGAACTAATCCTCAGATCCCTCTTAAGAAAGCCCCAAATTCAGGCATCTTTTATGTCAAGGGAAGGGAGGAGGGTGTGGTCAGTAGACAGTGAGACAGCTTGGCGCCGACAGGGATCCAAGAGGGCATCGTCTGGACCTGCTGCGAGCTGCCTTCCAACTGGGCTCACCCAGCGGGAGCACCTGCAGGCATAGACAGCTCTGTGCTCCGGGCCACACACTGTGTGTGGCTGTGTCCTCCACACAGAGATGGCTTTCCGTGGTGTCCCCTGGCCCTTCTGCCCCTCGGTGCTCCTGGCCGGCCTTGGAATGCCCCGACAGCCCCTTGCTGGTTTACTGATCATTCCCATATCTCTGTCAATACAGGAGTCACATGTGCCGAGCCAGCACAGCCAGGTTCGGTGAGCCTGAGAGGGGGCACTGAAGGATTGAGACTTTTCAAGAGAGGAAAGCTGGGTCTGGCTGGGACGCTGCCCCCTCTGACGGAGAGACAGCGCCACGCAGTACAAGCCGAGTCTTTGTTTTATAGCCAGTTTCCACGAGGCAAAGTAAGGGCGTGGTCAAGATGTTTACAACCTTCTCGTGGGTTTCGAACCTACTCAATTACATGCACCTGAAATCTATCAAGCCCACATCACTCAGCCACGTGGGGCTACAGGTTCGGACCATAAGATCAAGCTTACAAACATAGCCTTCGGCTACAATTGTGCTGGGAGGGCTTTGCCTTCCAAGCTGGGACTTGCACGTGGCTTTGCCACGAGAGGACCAGCACCCTCTCATTAGTCCGAGGCTTGAACCTGTCCAAACACTGTAGCCGCTCTCCACAGGCACAGTCGTTTGGGGACTTGAAAAACAACTGTGCAAGCTGAAACCTTGCAGGACAAACTTAATCATCAATGGGGAGAGTTCCTTACTTGGGTATGTAGGTGAGTTCCCTGAGAATATGGGACTCCAGGACAAATGGGGCAGTTGAGGCCTATATATAACATTCTGGACTAAGAGGAGGCCAGGGTCTGGGACTGCAGAGGAAGGTGGGCAGTTCACAGGTAGATGAGCGGGAGCAAGCATCTGGCACACCAGCGGGACACAGAGGGGAGCCCTTCTAGATTCTTCCCCATCTGCTACACTTAGGTCATATTTTGATGCTAAGGTGATGCTCCCTTTCTTTAGGCAGGTTTTTCTAGATGAATTCCTTGAAGCGTGGGGACAGTCTTAAAAAAACAGCTTAAAATAACCCATGTTTCCAAGAGGCATATTTTGGCAAACTCTGCTTCCCCTCACTGGCCACTCAGCCTCCCTGTGCTCCTCAGTTCTTTCGCCTGAAGATGGCATTGGCCTTGGAGATGGTTCTTGCTGGCTGTATCTCACATTGCATGACACGCCAGTGCATCCTAGTGGGGAAAGTGGTTCGTTGTTTTGCAGGCTGTGCCATGATTTTTAGCTTGAAAGATTCATAAACGATGCTCATAAATGAGTCACCCATGAAAGGCAGGCGACACAGAACCTAGCATCAGGCTTCAGAAATAGCCCAAGAAAATCTGGAAGGAAAAAATGTGTTTTTACAGGAGCCCTTGCCACCAATCACAAGTACTATACACACCAATACACACCACTATCAACTCCCTTTTACAAACCTTTCACACATCAGGAAGCATCTGGAAACTTTCAAGCTTCAAGGATTTAATGTATATAACAGATGGGATATGGGCTTTGGAACTCAACAGACCTATGATGGAACTCCAGCCTCATCGATGGGTGTTCTTTGAAAAATTTAGCCTGAGTCTGCACCTAAAATGGACCTCATTACCTCTACCTCATTGTCCTCAATTATAAAATCGGTTTAGTAATCCCTGTCTCCTAGGTTATTATGAATATTAAATGAGATAATTTCTGGGTTATTGCCAGGACAAGGTAAGGGCCTTCGGGGTCTGGCCCAGCACACATTAGGAGCATACACATTGCTCATTTTATTAATATCTCCATGTTCTCTTAGCAAAGCCAAAATCAAAGGAAGAAAGTGCCTAGAGCAGCGGTTCTCAACCTGTGGGTCGCAACCCCTTTGGCGGTCGAACGACCCTTTCACAGGGGTTGCCTAAGACCATCCTGCATATCAGATATTTACATTACGATTCATAACAGTAGCAACATTACAGTTACGAAGTAGCAATGAAAATAATTTTATGGTTGGGTCACAACATGAGGAACTGTATTTAAAGGGCCAGAAGGTTGAGAACCACTGGAGAGGTTTAAGGCATCAAGGACACATCAGTGGAGGGACATCTTCTTTCTTTGTGTGTGGCTTTATTTTGATTGATGAGGAAGAGCGAGAGCGAGAGAGAGAGAGAGAGAGAGATTTGTTGTTCTACTTATTTATGCATTCTTGTATGTGCCCTGATTGGGGATCAAACTCACAACTTTGGTGTATCAGGCAATACTCCAACCAACTGAGCTACCCAGCCAGGGCGAGAGCTACTCACCTTTCAAATACATTGTTCTCAGAGGAAGGGTTTAGGCCAGTGCTCTTCAAACATTTTGCCAGCATCCTCTCAACCCATTCACTGTTAGCACACAGCTGAGCAAAACATCACAGGTCTAGTGTCTATTTTTATAAACATGGATTTTTCTTTTTTAATTGGTTCATACATCATAAAATGAAACAGAGTTCTGCGTCAATAATTCAAGTGTTCACTTTTAGAGCTGTAAACGTTGAGAAACGTTGATCAGATAAGTTGGTGGGACTGAAGAGTGACGTCTCTTAACACTTGACCTCCTCGGGGACAGGTCAAAGTGCCCTCTATTGGAATCCTTGCAAAAGGAGTGTTCCCCCAGTCTCTGCTTCTTCGACACCTACACCAATATTTCAAATTGTTGCGAAGGCAACACACCAAGGCAAAGAGGGAAAGGATGATTGTGAAAGAGGCCTCAACCTAGTAGAGCAACACAGAAGTTGACGATCTAGAAAATGATTCCTTATCATTGTTCATATACACCCTGAAAAATTCTCCTAATTTTGTGCCTCTGAGCCAGGGCCGGGACTAGTGAAGTGAGAGACGCACTCACCTGGGGTACAAAATTGAAGGAAGCACCAAAAAAACCCCTCAGTAATCATGACACATAATGCTTGGATGAGATATTTGTAAAAATAAAAATTAATGCAAAAAAAATCCGTGGTGAACAAAACATCGAAATTTAAAATAAAAATCCCAGGACAGGCGGACCCCAGCTCGAAGTCCACAGGTGTCCCAAATGTAAGAGCTGGCGGCTGAGCCAAGATGGGTAACCATTCTCTTGCCCATACTGCCACCTGCTGCCGGAAGTGAGTAATTCTCGCTGTCTGGCCAACCGGGTGTCCTAGTGCCGTGTCCCCACACTCTTGCCTGCAGCCACCCACCTCAGGGACCTTGGGAACCTCTGGCCACCTACTTCCTGGTCGATGGCTGCGTGTGCTAAAAAGAGCCCACGGCTCAGTTTCTAGACCTAGATCTGAGTGTCAGCGTTGCCTCTTTGCTGGGCCTTCTTGAACTAGTCACATCACCCTTCTGAGCCTGAGTCTGCACCTAAAATGGACCTCATTACCTCTTCCCATAATTGAGCAATTACGTGAGACTCTTTCTGTGACAATGCCAAGCAGAAGTATGCTGCCTCAGCAGGCCCACCCACTACCATGGATCAAATCACACTGTCACCAATTTATTACCAAAGGCGAGACACTGCAAAAGACAACCACGCCGAACAAGGTGCTAGGGAAGTCCAGACAGTGGCCAGTGCCCTGGCCAGTGGGATAAGGAAGGCTTCCTGTAGGAGGTGTCACTAGAGCTGAGCCTACGGGACCGGAAGGGCCAGGTCAGGCCAAGAGCTGGCCAATAGCCTCTAGGGATCGCTAGGCCACGTCGGTTTTATCTCGGGAACATTCCAGGACATGAAGCAAGCATTAGAGTGGTGGTAGGAAGGCCAAGGCCCTTGTCATCAGCCCTGGGTTCAATCCTGGCTGTGCTACTTACGAGCTGTGTGACCACAGGAAGTCAGTTAACTTCCTTGAGCCTCAACGGCCTTCTCTAGGGGATGGGGATAATAAGACATCTTACCCTGGGTGGGTAAGATTAAATAAGATGACATACTTAAATCGCCTGCGATATGGTGGCTCAATGAGTGGCAGCTGCTTTTGTTAACTTGGAGACTTCTGTGAGGAGTGGGAAGAACAGGGACACAGCCGTCGGGCAACCCTGGCAATGGTCATATTTGGCTTCTGGAAACCCCCCCCCCCAGTGTGTTGGGCAAGGAGTGGGGTGCTGATCCCACCTTGGGCAGCCTCTGCTCCCGCCCACCCCCAGCAGGACTCAGCATATAAGTACACCCCAGAAAGGGAGTGTGGGGGTCTCCCTGCCCCGAGGTTGGGAGGGGATGCTGGAGTCCAACACGGATGGGGAAGCGGAGTTCAGAGAGAGGCCTGGGGATCTGAACGCTGGCTGCGACTTAGATGACACACTGGAGAGTGTTCATTCCCCACCTTGACAACAGATGCAAGAAAATGTCCTTGCTTTCCGGAAACACACTCAAATATCTGGGGGTAGGGAACATCACGCCTGCAATGTACTGCCCAATGGTTCAGAAAAAATAAAAGGGTAAAGAGAATAAGGGGAATGTTAATGTCTGGAGAATCGAATTGAAGGGCACACAGGAATGGTTGCAACTTTTCTGTATATAGGAAATGATACGAAAAATAAAAGTTATTAAAAAAAAAAAAAAGGCAGCAGCCGGCAGGGTTCTCTTCCTCCTCCCTCCCTGAAGCCCTTCTCTCCAGCATCCACTCACGTGTCCAGCCGCCTTCACACGCCCCCCCCCCCAGCACCCCGCACCCCGCACCCCGCACGGACGCAGCCACTCTCCAAAAGCTGCACCGACTTTATTTGCAAAAGGAGGCTCCAAGCACTGCAGGGCATCTGTGAGCAGGGGTCCGAGGCTGGAAGGCCCCCACAGCCCCCTGTGGCCCCCACGATCCCCCCCCACCCCCACCCCCGCCCCTCCTCGGGGTCCCCAGGCTACACGATGGCGAACTGGCAGATGTAGGGCAGCTTGTCGCGGCATCGCTTGTCGAACCACTTGCCGTTGGCGGCGCCGGCCAGGGTGGCGCAGTTCTCGGCCTTGCCCCCGTCGGGCTGCGCCGTGATCTCCGTCTCCCAGTTCTTGTAGGCGATGCGGCCGCCGGTCATGTCCACCCAGTCGCCCTCCGCCGCCATGTCGTTGAGGCCCAGCCAGATCTCGGCCTCGCTGCCCACGCTCTGCCGCAGGTACTCGAACATCGCGTCGTTCTCCGAGCCCGTCTGCGGGGTGCCCAGCGTGCCCCCGCGCGAGATGCAGTCCTCGCTGGCCTCGTGGAAGGTCTTGGCCTGGGCGAAGGCCAGAAAGCACTTCATGTGCACCTTGGTGCCCTTCAGGCAGACTGGGAGGGGAGAGAGGGCCGTCACCAGGGTCCCCGGTCCCGAGCCAGAGCGCCCACTGACCGTCCCCGCTATTATTCTGTGGCTGTGCCCTAGGCGTGACCCCCTGGGTTCATGCAGAAAACTAGACGAAGACAAAGCCTGAGAGCAGTGCTGGGCGGGCAATCAGCCCTTTGCTCCTGCGGCGCCCTCTGCTGGCAGCCCCTCTGTATCTCCCTCCTCCTCCTGGAAGGGTTCCAGTGAGTGCACTGCATGAATGTATGGAGGCTTCTGGGAGCAGGGCCCTGGCAAGGTCACCTCTGCCTCCCTGTGTCTGGCAGAGGCTGGCTGGCTGGGGACCTCACATGTGGTTGCAGATTGGGGGGGGGGGGTGAGGGGCAGATGCCAGGAGGAGGGTGCTCCCCTAACCCCTCAACTCTGGCTAGGTCAACAGAGCCGTATGCTTTGGGTGGGCTGCAGACAAGGTGATCTGCAGGTGGTGGTGGTGGAAAGGACAATGAGAGGGAGAAGGTCCCCAAGGAGGCCCAGAGACCGTGACCGCCTGGGACTCAGTGGAGAAGAGGGGCTCTTGGGATTCCCTTGTGCCTTGGACTTTGTGCAGGGAGGTCCCCACCATCTGCCCTCACCTCAGGGGACGGTGGCACCTGGGTTATCAGGACTTTGCACAAGCACAAAGCTTAGACCTTGGAGAGACCTTGGAGCTTTCCTGCACCTCTACCCCCACCCCGTCCACTTTACAGTGAGGAAATGAGGCCCAGGGTGGCACTGCGCTCATGCAGACACTGTGGCTGATCCAGCCAGCACCCCTTCCCGCTCCCCCCTCCTTGTCTGTCTCGGTGCAGGAATGAGCTACTTCCAGATTCTCTTGTTGTTTAAGCTACTCTTAGTTTTCTATTACTTGAAGCCTAAACATGGTAGACATTTCCTTCCTAGAGCCCCCCTTTCCCCACCAGCCAGGTTAAGCACGTTGTCCAGAGTCCTGTGTTTGTCCTCCCTTAGCAGAGATTTACGGAGTGTTGATATGTGGCAGGCACTGTGCTGGGCAGGGTGGTGGGAGAGACAAGGGCAACCAGAAGCAAACTTAGCTGCTGTGTTCCTGGGGCTCACAGTGAAGACATAAATCAACACATGAATATAACATTACAAATTGCCATAAATGAGATAAAGGAAAGAACATCATTCTGTGAAGCTTTTAACTGATTGAGAAGAGGGATTAGATACTTTGAGATGGTGTTGCTGGAGGTATTTATTACGTGGCTCTTGGCGGAACAGTTCAGGCTGCCAGAACAGCATGTGCAAAGGCCCTGTGGTAGAGGGACAGAGTGTGGCACAGCAGAGGGACAGAAGGATGGCAGTGTGGATGCTGGAAGAAAAGATCTGAGAGGGAGAGGATGTGTGAAAACTGCCCAGTGAAAAGGATTTGGAGGTTTCTGAGGAGGCAGCAGGGGAGGGGACTCAGCTGCTGGGTAGGAAATGGAGGCGGGGTTATAGCAATAGGCCCATTGCGTGGGTTTTCTGTGAAGAATGAGTCGATGGCCTGGCCGGTGTGGCTCAGTAGTTGAGTGTCGACCTATGAACCAGGAGGTCACTGGTTCAATTCTCGGTCAGGGCACATGCCTGGGTTGCAGGCTCGATCTCTAGTGTGGGGCGTGCAGGAGGCAGCCAATCAATGGTTCTGATCATTGATGTTTCTATCTGTCTCTTCCCTCTCCCTTCCTCTCTGAAATCAATAAAAACATATTAAAAAACAAAAAAGAGTGACAGTGTCAGCAAAGCTGCTGACACACAGGGGGTGAAGCCAACGCCCCCTACGGCTGCAGGGCCTGGCTGAGTGGAGGGTCTCCCAGGACTGGTTAGGGTGGTGCCACCTCTGCTCCACAGAGCGCTGCAGGGGTCCCGCTTCTGGTGGGTAATAATGGATTCTGTGGGAGAGCTTTTGTCTGTTGGGGACACACCAGGGGCCACACACCAGGGCCTCCGAGTACCGGCCTATGGGGCTGGCCTGAGGCCTCGGGCGCACTGCTGCCTGCCTGCCTGAGCCCTTCTCTCTGGCTCACTGCTGCCCAGAAAGGCCGCCGCCACACTCACCCGTCTGCAGGGCCTGCTGCTCCTTCAGCAGGGCCACCTCCTGGGCCAGGCTCTCCAGCTGGCTCTTGAGCTCCTCAAGCATCTTCGGGCTCACAACATCTAGGATGGAGTCAGGAGGGCGTGGAGATGATGATGAACATGGGAGGAAGGCAGTAAGGATCGGCAGGGCACGGGGAGGGGGGAGACTCTGTCTATCAACCATCAGGGACAAGGGGAAAGGACTCCCTCGACCTGACCTCTGGGTGTATGCTTTGTCTGTCTGCTGGTGACAGTGTAAGTATTTGCTCAGGATTTGCCTCTGCCAGGGGGACCTGTCATTTGCTCTTGCTGAGGTGAGACCTGTGTGGCGTTTGCTCAGGGACATTGCTGGGGTTCCTGTGGTGTTGGGATTGGCAGGGGCTGGGCTGGGGGTGCAGGCAGAGTCTTCCGTGACCCCCAACCATCCAGCCACCCTTCCAGTTCCGAAGAGAACGGAGCACAGGAAGCAGGGCCGGGGCCCTTGAGACTTCCCAGGCTCCCCTCTCCAGGCAGGAGGAATAAGACACAGATCCAGCCCGGGACCGAGTGTGGTGGCACAGGTAAGGGTGCGCGTGGCCTCGGGGGTCACAGGGATGCGCGTGACCTGGAGCATGAATTCAGTGCTCGGCCTCTCTGAATTCAGTTCTCTCATCTGTAAAATGGGAAGTAGCAGCCCCACCTGAGAGGACTCCGCAGAAAACTAGAGACTAGGAGAAATAAAGCGTGTGAACAGTGCTGGGCTTGCAGTCAGCCCTGTGAGCTGGGCAATGTTTCTACACCACCGCTTCACGGACAGCAAACCGAGGCCAGACTGAAGCAACTCGCCCAGTATCGCAGAGCCAGCAGCTGGCAGGGCTGCCCGAACCTAGGCCACATGGCTCCGAGCTTGACCTTCCCCACCTCTGACAGCACAGACTCCTAACGTGAGCCCCAGGCCCTGCAGGGAGCTGGTGAGCGAGAGGTCTTGCTCCGTGTGTGTAAGTTGAGAGCTCTGTGGGTGGACCCGTCTTCCTGAAATCCCAGGGACTTTAAGAAAGCTGTGCTCAGCTTGGGGTGGGGGTGGGAAAGGGCTTCCATGGTCCATTTGGCTGGGCCTGCATGAAGTCCACAGTCATGAGGGGTGAGGTCAGAGCCTCTGTCCATCCATACGATGCCTTGGCAGGGGAATGGCAGGAAACAAATGCAAGCAAAACCACCCTTGTGTGCACAGAAATTTGTGTTGCAACTTATGAGATATGAGGAAAATGACACCCAGATAAGTAAGGCCAAAAAGGGCGGGTTTGGGGCTGGGGAAGGAGCCTGGAGGGTTTGTGTGTGCCTCGCCCGGGGCTCTGCCTCAGCCCGTCTGCGGCAGCTCTGTCCCCGGTCACATGGCGCACCAGCACAGGGCACTACACAAGGGCACTCAGCTCGGGACACACAAGGGCACTCAGCTCAGGGGACACATGGGGGCGCGAATCCAGGCCTAAGCCTTGCCCTTGGCTGTGCTGGGTCAGACCACACACGGGGTGGGTGCCTTTCTGTAATGTGTGTGTGCAAGGCACGCTCCAGGGACTGGCCCACGAGAAGGTGCTAGCAGTGCTCCACCCGAGGAAGGTGTGGGAGGAGGGGTCCCTACCGCTCGGGGTGAGGAGTCAGGAGGCTCTCGCCCCAACGCTGTCTCTGAGGCTCAGAGTCCGGATGTGTGATTGAAATGGTTGTCCTCCAGCTTCTGAGCTAAGGACCTGTGACCCCTGTGAGGCCATCCTGCCGACCTGAGCTCCTGGGCCAGATGTGGCCACGTGGCCCCTGGAGTTCCCGCCGCCTGAGCCTCCCTGCGAGCCTCGCCTCTGGCTGACCGACCAGCTTTCCTTCCCCGAGATAATCACTGTCACTCTTATAAAGGCTTCCAGAAAAATTCTACACATGCACAAGTAAATAGGATTTTTCCTATAAATTCCTTTTTCAAAACAAAGGCCAGCACACCATCCATTCCATTTTGAACTTTTCTTTGCTCGCTTTATAAATGGAACCTTGGGATTATTTCCATTAGGTCGGCCCGTTCTGTCTGTCACCCCCTGTGGGTCTCTCTAATCCAGATGTACCTCTACGGACATACTCCACTATCCACGGCCACTGGCCACTGGCCACGGACGGAGGAGGCTCCGAGGGGGGCCTGAGGGCGCCCACGCGCCCCTCCCTGCTTCGTGTTTTCTGCGCTCTCGGACCTGGCGCGCCTGGAACTCTCCCCGCCTCTGAGCCCTGTGGGGGTGACAGCCCCGTCCATTGCCATGGCGCTTCACTGGTGTTGTCTCAACACAGCTCGAGGTGACTTCACTGCGGGCAAGGCTCCCAGGGCAGGCCTTGCCGCAGCCAAGGTGACCCAAAGACACCCCAAGCCCCAGGGGCGACAGAGGGAGAAAAAGCTGCTTCCGGTGTCCTGGTTTGAGTTTCAAGGCTGGGATACGCTATGGAACCAAGAATTAACTTATTCCTGCTCCCCTTCTGCATCAAGTATATCCTATGTGCCAGGCACTTTATAAGTTTTGTATCATCAGATCCTCATGACAACCCTTGGGGCAAAGGCCAGGACCTCACTTTAGAGCTGAGAAACCTGAGGTTCGGAGCTTGCAAAGCAGAGCCATTGGCTCTCTCCGGTGAGGGCCGAGCATCTCCAGACAGCTGAGCAAAAGGTTTGATTTCTTTAAAACATCGAGGGGGAGAGGAGTGGATGTCAGTTCTGATGATCTGGAAGGTTCTTTCCGACTGTGAGAGTCAGTTCTTTCTGGCAGCCGCCCCTGCTATGGCGAGCACTCCCAGGCCCCAGGGGGACTTCACTAACGTTCTCCGGACTCATCCAGAAGGAAAATGAGCCCAAGGACCCAGCGAAGGAGAGGGCGACCAGCTCCCTGGAAGATGGAGAGGTGCCCTCTCCCCCTCCTTACCTTTCTTGGCATTTGCAGCCTTCTTGACCTTGGGGGACGGTGGCTCGGCGGTGACCTGGGTCAGGAGGGAGAAGAGGCAGAGGAGCAGGTAGGCCCCCCAGAGCTCCATGCTGCTGCCGCCTGCAGTGTGCCTGGGTTGGAGAGCAGTGGCGCTGTGACCAGGGCTGCACGGCTTCAGCAGCTGCCGCGAGGACCTCTGTCCAGGAAACCCTCCCAGACTTGGCTGTGGGCGCACCCAAGCAAAACAAAACAGAACGCCTGCGAAGGGGGAAGGCTGGGAGCTGCAGAGCCTCGCCTCCCAGGGAACAGCCCCCGGCATCCCGGCCCTGCCTTCTAAAATATTTTCTAGGATTCTGAAAAACACATGCTAGTGTTCAGAGCTCACACCCAGGGCAGGTGCGGAGTCACGCCCTTCCCTGGAATTCGCTCAGAGAGGCTTCCCAACAGCAACAGGAGGGAAGTCCTGTCATCTCCCCATTTTACAGTCGCAGAAACTGAGGCTCAGGAGGTTGAAGGACTTCCCCAAGCTGCTCAGATGTTGGGAGCAGCACCAGTATTTAAACTAAGCAGGGCGGTTCCAGAACAGTGACGCTGCATTAGGGATGTTCGTTAGCATGAAGTGCTTAAGGAAGAGGGGAACGTGCCAGCAGAACCAGCTTGGATTTGGGTCCAAGGGCTAAAGTCAGGGGTTTGAGCATCAAAATGGCAGCTCACAGAGGCCGCCTGCAATGCGGAGAATCTGTGGATTTCATCCTCCCGTGTGAAGGATCGCTGTGCCGGCACCATCCCCCAGGCCTCTCCAGCCGAGGGGCAGCAGGCAGGGTAGCTTCGGCCAGGAGATGACCTGGGGCTAATGTTCATGAGTGACCCACCCTCAGGGAAATGTCCCTGCACTAACGCACCCCTCCTCCCCCCCTTTTTATACCAATTTTCCTGCACAAAGAATGATCTTCCTAACCAAGCCCAGAGGCAGGAAAATCAGGAGAGAGCCCTAAAAGGCCCATTTTCGCTTTCAAGTTCCTGTTGTTTTTTTCCTCCAAACTGTTGGAAGTCTGAGTTATAGAAAACACCCTCTGGCCACCCCACCCACGTCAGCCCAAACAGCATGAAAACTTCTGGCCCAACATCGCCCCGCCCCCGCCCCCGCCCCCGCCCCCACCCCCACCCCCGCTCTGCACAGATGTTTCCTCTCAGCTCCGCTGGGCTGGCCCCAGTCAGAGCGCAGCGGCCCGGGAGACACAGAACTTCCCACGCTCTCCTCACAGGTGAGAGTGTCCAGGGTGCGAATCGCCAAGAGCATTGCAAGGGCAGTCTCAGCCCGAGTCATAACCACCGACAGGGCCTGCAGCCTTGGCCTCGTGACCCTCCCGAGGGAAGTCCTCCGTTGCAGGCCTCGCTGGCCTGGTGGTCAGCCCTTGATTCAACAAGGGTTGCCTCTGCTCTGTCCCTGGCCTTGCGATGAGGTCTTCCAGTGAGGCTGTGCCTCTGGCGGTGAACGTCACTGCTTCTCAGTCCAATCGTTCTGTCGCCCACTTCCTCCAGGAGGCTCTGGTGAAAGTGTCTCCTGAAGGGACCTTGTTAAAAACAGTGCTCTGATGTATTTCAAAATGGCCCCTTTGTCCCTCCTCCGGCACGAGGGGAGTATTTCTCCAAAACTCACTGTGGGAACCAGGCCGAGCTCCTGGAGATAAAACACACAGAAGTGTGGGGCCCCTGATGCCCAGGTTCCCCTTCCCCTGGAGCTTTTAACTCACGGAGCTGCTCACAGGTGTGGCTCAGGTTTCCCTTCCTGCTTATGGCCCCAGAGGTTTCAGGCCCAGTGTGAGTCTCTGATTTGCCTGTTGGTCTCTCCAATTTGGGGAGCAGAGGTTTGCCCTGTGACCTCACTTCTCTCACAGATTGAAGAAGGGTTGTTGCCTTTTCCGTGGCTCCACGTGACTGCCAGGTCCAGGTTTCAGGGGGCTACCAGCAGCAAATTAGGAACAACTTCAGGCCTCTTTGTGGGGCCACTGATCCCCTTTCCAGCCATGGCACTGGTCCGACACCCTCAGGACCCGCTCCTCCTCCAGTCCCCTGGCACATGCCAAGCCAGGTCTTGCCATTATTTTGATGAGTAACCTAGTTCTTCCCACAGCAGGAACCGTATCTCCTGGAGGCAGTGAGGGGAGGGAGGGGGCAGAGGTTAAGAGGCATCTACTCGAGAGGCCTCTGACTCGGGTAAGGCCTTTGCAAAGACAGTGGCGTAGTTTCTTTCAGGAGACGCTGCTCTCCTTTATCTGGGGGTGGGGCTTCGGCCTGCGAGGGCCAGACATTTCTAATAAACGCCTCGCCTGGAGAGACCTTGCCTGTCGCTGTTTTGTTGCATTTGTGATGTACACTGCTTACCGTTGTAATGCAAGTAAATAACAATTAGGAAGTAGTAATACAAGAATAAACTGTTCCTCATACTCATACTGCAAACCTGCTTTTGCCCCACCCCGTATTTCTCTCCTTCCTTTATTCTGTAACTGCTTAGCCACGCAGCGCAGTGGGAAGTGGCCCAGCAAAGCCTCACCCGTCTGTCTCATCTGCCTGTCTTTGATCATCAAGACGGAAGGCTTCTACACCTGACTCAATTCAGCTGCCCCTGACCACCGCCATGTTCTGTCACACAGTCCACCAGGAGCAGGGAGGAGGCACGGCTGGTCTTGTGTCTTCAGGAGCACTGTCATGGCACCAGGATGGACAAACCCTGGAAAAACGCTAAAAAATAACTACACCCAGGCTGTGTTCTCAATAGGGCAGCGGCTCCAAGTCTAAGTGTGGGCAGCTGCTTCTCTCTGCAGGGACGGGCCTGGCCATGCAGAGGAGGTGCCCATGCCAGGCCCCTGGAGCAGCCTGCATGGCTCCCACATGCTTTTCCCGTTGAGCAATCCATGCCTAGCTCCTTACCCTACTTGTCTAATTGAAATGCAGAGTGAATGCCATGGCTGCTCTCCTGGTCCTTTAAGATTGACTGGGAGGATCCGAGCCCCTGGAGAGAAACAGGCTGCTCAGCCCTCAAACAGACTTGATTCCAACACAGGGCAGGCACTCCGAGCAGCGCCCCGGGAGTCTGCTGGGGCCATGGAGGACAGCCTTTCCGTCCCAGAGTATGAAGGCAGGCTGGGTAATCAAATGACAACATCTCTAAAGCAGCCTTCTTGATGCTGACAAAACAAGAAAATCTTACAAAACACCCGGGAGTGGCTATAAAACACCAAGCAATTTCACAATGAGGCTGATAAGAAAGGTTGGCTAAGGACCAAAGTGGCCACCAAGACCCTGCTCTAGGGGTGTGTGTGGGAGGGGTGGGGGGGGGGTAGGGGGAGGAGGGCAGGCAGGAAGCAAGAACTGGGCTTCCCCAGGCCCCGGGAGGCTCACCAGCCAGGCGGAAGCCCTGGGTGGACACCTGGGCAGAGTGCCTCTCTCTTCTCCTCCCCGCGAGCACCAAATGCACAAGCAAATGAACCTTTTTGTGTGATTCTTACACTAAAGGCTCTTCGAGGGGGGAAATTTCACAAAATGCACATCATAAGCATTTCCTTTAAGCCATTTTTTCTCAGGGGCCCTTATTCCAGTGTGTTCGTTGTTCTGAGCTCCTGCAGCAGGAGACGAATGAGGCCCCTCGGGGAGGCCATGACCAGAATCCTCTCTCTCCTGGGGAGCACTTCTTGGGACCTGAGGAGCGAGGGCCAGACTCTTGCAGGCGTCACCGAAAGGCGTTTGACTTGGCGCGAATGAATCCCAGCCATACCCAACCAGACCAGAAAATAAACTTTAATTTTACACGTACAAATGTTGCTTTAAATTCATAATTAGAAAAAATATATACAAACTTCGGCTTAAACAAAAAAAGTGGAAACCAGCTCCGGAGTGGGGGCTGATGTGCAGCTCACCCCAGGAATCCAACCTTCTGTCTCTTGGGCCCCAGGCTCTCCTCCTTGTGCAGGATGCTGTGCAGCGAGGTGTGCAGCACCTTGCCCACGCGCTTGCTGGTCTGCGGGGCGAGGAGGGGAGAGAGCACGCGTGAGGCAGGCACGCTGACCCGGGGAAGCCCCTCTGCCAGCCTGCAGTTCCAGCCCCGTACACACTCCACCTGCCTCCCGGGCCTTTGTGCAATTAAATAATTCAATCAATACAAAACAAACTCCAAACCTCAACAGTATAATAGCTCCTTCTGAGAAAACCTCCATCCCAATAAAGAGAAGAAAAGACACCAACCCCCAGGCACCAAGCAGCAAAGGCTGCCTCGGCCATTAGCTCACACTCAGCATTCCTGCTGCCGTCACAACAGCAGCAAAATTGTCAACCAAGTCTGGACATGGTCCCCGCCAAGTCCCACGGTCCTGGAGTAAGAAGGCACAGAGACCCCAGGACGTGCAGTGTGTCTGATGAAGAAGATGGTGCTGAGGACTCGTCCTAACAAGCAGTTTCTAACGTACCTGCCAGCAGATCTCTAAGCAGAGCCCCTCAGATGAGACCAAAGTCAACACCTGGATAGGGTCTTTGGTGTCTCCGACACTACATACACCGCCCCTTTGTGCTTTCAAGTAAGATAATAAAAGGAGAAAACAGACACCAAGGGCTCAGAGTCTCCCGTGAAAAGCCACTGTTTCTAGGAATGAAGGAAGCATTACATGGCAACCTTGCCTGAGCAATGACCTGTGGGCACGTGTTATGATGTGATCCAGTGGCTGCTTGAACAAAAACCACCTGCTCCGGCCAACTGCGTTCCTGGCAGGTCAGTCGGTCAGTTGGTCAGTGTTAAAGTCCTCAAAGACTTGTACAAAGTTGCATTTGTGATGTACACTGCTTACCGTTGTAATGCAAGTAAATAACAATTAGGAAGTAATAATACAAGAATAAACTGTTCCTCATACTCATACTGCAAACCTGCTTTTGCCCCACCCCATATTTCTCTCCTTCCTTTATTCTGTAGCTTCCTTTATTCTGAGCAGGACCAGGGCCCTGTGGCTCTGGGCCAGTGGGGAGACTAACACGTCACCCAATGAGCACAGAGCAGCTGGAAAGAGCCCTAAAGGTGCTGCAGAGGGTGGAGGAGACCCGAGGGAGCAATCCACCCCTCAGGCTGCCAGGAGGACTTCCCCACTCCCATTCCTCTCCCCTTGAAACAGTTCTAAACCCGGAGGAAAGGGGAGACGGCCACCCTTCAGCCCCTGGCTCCACCTTTGCTGCCTCCAATTCCCTCATCAAATCACAAAAGCTTGGGATTTTGGAGTCATAAGTTCACATTATCAGATCAACACTCTCCTTTAGAACCGTGAACGTGGGATCGGGGAGGGGAAGATAAGCAACTGTTACCAGCGGGTTCCTTACCCCCCTCCCTTGGCTAAGTCAGCAGACATCCAGCTCGCACCAGCTGTCCTCCAAGCTCCAAGTCTGGGTCAGGGGTGTAAACAGGAGAACCCGATGGTGTTGCCGAGGTGGCAGGAAGCAGCAGGCACTCCCAGCCAGGCCCAGCACCTGCCTCAGAACCAGAACCTCACCTCCATCATCTCGAAGATGCTCTCTGGGTCCAGGCTGCCCTTCCCCACTTTCCTCATACACGTCACGACGCCCTGGCTGGTCACGGACACCAGCACGCTGGCCAAGGAGCAGGCCTCCTCCTGCAGAGTCGCGTCCACCACGTGCCGACAGCCAATCTGCAGGCAGGCAGCAGAGCACACGTGGGTGACACAGCCCGGATCCCCGCCCGACCACTCCCGGAGGTACACCCAGACCAGCAAAGAGCCTGCACTGCCCATTCAGGATCGAGATTTTTAGATTCTGATCACGTGGAAAATATCTGAAGCAATGTTCAAGCAACGTATTGCCAGCCGCGGTGTGAGCCATGTAGCAGAAGAATGAAATGGAAATATGGGGGGGGGGGGGGGGGTTGGGGTGGATAGAACTAGAATTCAGTGACCATCCAAGTCAGAGGCCACCAAGTGTTTCTGACAGCGGGGTACAGGGAGAAATTCACATGGGCGGCCACATGGATGTTTCCCTGTGACAAAGATGAGAGCAAGAGAGGACATGCTGAGGAACACGCTCAAGAATGAGTCAGGCCCTAGCCAGTTTGGCTCCGTGGACAGAGGGTCGGCCTGCGGACTGAAGGCTCCCAGATTCAACTCTGGTCAAGGGTACAAGCCTGGGCTGCGGAGGCAGCTGATCAATATTTCTCTTTCTCTCTCTCTCTCTCTCTCTCTCTCTCTCTCCCCCTTCCTCTGAAATCAATAAAAATACATTTAAAAAATAAAATCAATAAAAATGTATTTTAAAAAAAGAGTCTGGTGCAGGTGGCTTGTGTCAATCCCAACACTTTACCATACTCAGGTTTATGAAGTGATTTCGTGGAATTAAACCCAACCCATTTGGCCTTATTTTGAAACAATGAATCCTGCGTGGAATCAGGGACAGCTCAGCCAATACAGGCCTCTGTGCACATCAGCATCAGCCAGATGTTAGCTCCACAGGCCTCTGTGCTCATGTAGAAACTACACCAGGAGCTGCTGCAACCCCCTCATTTGGCAGATGTGGACACTGGGGCCCCAGAGGGGACAGTACTCGCCTTTCAACCACCTATTACTGTCAACCAGCCTGGACCCCACAGAGAAAATGAAAGGAAACAGGCCTACAGGGTGTCTCGGTGAAATGCCTGGTATAGAAGGAGCTTAACAAACTGGCTGCTCTCACTCTGAACCCACTCGTGTGCTCCCAGCACTCCGCCACCTCTTCTCATTAAGAAGAAAAGAAAGACTGCTCATGGCAGTGATCTCTACTATAACCAACTACTGGATTCGGGGCAAAGCTCCCTCTACAGTTTGTGAAACTATAACTTTTCAACTTACTAAGTAACCTTAACGGGTGGGGGGTTGAAAAAGACCTAGAGGGAAGCTCATACTTTGCACAGGGTGACGATGCAGGGGACGTTCTCCACACTTAGCCGGATGCAGTCATAAGGGTCATCAGACAGTTCAATGTCCTTCGACCCCTCTTCATCCTCCAGGACACGAACTCTTGGTATCCTGGAAGCAGAAGCACAATTAAAATCCTCACTTCCTGAAAGATAATTTCTTTTTCTTGAGATTGAGAACAGGAGTTGGAATCCCTGAATTTCATGCTAGGCCTGTACTCCCCATCGTTCCTGTCAAAAGCACACACAGGCGACACTGCAGTGCAGTGAGAAAGGAGGTTTTTTGTTTTGTTTTTAAAATATATTTTATTGGTTTTTTACAGAGAGGAAGGGAGAGGGATAGAGAGTTAGAAACATCAATTGGAGAGAAACATCAATCAGCTGCCTCCTGCACACCTCCTACTGGGCATGTGCCCGCAACCAAGGTACATGCCCTTCACCGGGATTGAACCTGGGGCCCTTTGGTCCGCAGGCCAACGCTCTATCCACTGAGCCAAACCGGTTAGGGCGAGAAAGGAGGTTTTTTTAAAAATAATGCTTGACCAATCCCATGTCCAGAATGAATTGTGATCCCTACTCACACCAAAGGAACTGCGGATGTAAAGGTGAAAGATAAAACAATAATGCTTTCAGAAGAAAAACTACAAACATTTTAATGACCCTGGAGTGGACAAAGATTTCATAAACAGGACACAAAGTGCCTATCATAAAGGGAAAATATGATAGATTTAACTATGTTATAGTTAAAACACATACACATACTAGTACATATATATAATATATATTAAGATTATAAACTTTGTTCATCAAAAGACATCATTTACCAGTAGAAATTAAAAGATAATGCAGAGTGGAAAAAAAATCTGCAAATGTGCATGTGTGTATGTATAAACTGACATATTCCATAAAGAATTCCTACTAAATATGAGACAGACAACCCAATTGAAATATGGGCAAAATACCTGATCAGAGACTTCATAAAAGAGGTACCAGTTTGAAGTTTTATGTTAAAAAATAAACGTGAGTGCATGGGCACACATGGTTCAGTAGAAGGGCTAAAGAATACCATCGAGGGACTGGCCTCTCCCCTTCTAAAGGCCCTGACTGTACAAAAGGTCTCTCCACATGCCAGGGGGTCCAGTGTTTGTAGGGTCCCCATTCCTTTCTTGTTCTGAGGATGAGACTGTGGCTATGCCCACGACAGGTGTCCTCCCAATCTGAGCAGCTGGGTTTACCATCCTGCTCACAGTCTGCCTGACACCTCCCCCCTCGCCCAACAGCCTCGGCTGGTTCTACTCTCTTTTTGCCCTGGTGCCCATGGAAACCAGCTGGCAGATGGGGGGTAATTTTTTAGGCTGGAGGTGCAACAGATGGCAGCTTCCTTTCTTCTCCAATGGAGCCAAGCCAGGCTGCTGCTGCTGGCAGCTGGTACTCGAGCCCCACAGTGGCCACCAGTGCCAGACCCTCGACGGTCTCAGCCAAGAGTTAGCGGCACAGCTCTGCATGAGGACCCCACAATTTCTGACCTAAATTTATTTAACTTTGTTTTTGTTTTGTTTTAAATTATGCAGGTAGTCTAAATTCATCATAGAAAAACTCTAAAACAGAGATAAATGTTCAATCATAGTATGAGCACTGGAAAATTGTCACAATGACCATTTTGGGACATATAGATATTTCCAGACATATTAAATATAAGAATTAGCAGAAGTAAAATAAAACAAGACAAAGCAAAAACGGGATGACAGGACTGTTTAGTGGCTGCTTTTCCATATTAACAAACGTGTACATGGGTTTCTGTGTCGATTTTAATGCCCATGTTGAGACATTAGGTTGTTTTCAATTTCTCACCACTACAAAGCTGCAATGAACATTTCTCAGATAATATCTTTGCTCACTTATCCAATCACTTCCATAGGCTATTTCCCTAGAAGCTTCGAATCCTCATTCCCTAATACCCCAGAATCCCATTACCATAATGTAAGCTCTCCGTGGAATGAACACCTCACCCACGTTTATTTTCAAACGCTGCAAACTTTCCTCAAAGAACCTGGTGCACAGAGTGGGAGAAATGCTCCATAATCAAACAGCCTGTGGGAATGTCAACTCCAAAAGCTTAGTGCCTCGTCCCTTGCTACGCACGCAGCCTGTCGGGGAAGCTGAACCTGCTTTTAATGAAAAACAAAGAGCAGGTTGCTACCCTGCTTTTAGAACATGCGTGTGTCCAGTGAAGGGCTCCGTGAGCACCTGCTGTGTCAGGCACTGTTCATGGTGCTGGGGGGATAGCAGACCAAACGGACAAACTGCCCACATGGAGCTTTGTCCAGTAACAGTATTTGGACAGTTGACCTGGAGTTGGTTTCTTTCTTTTTTTAAAATACGTTCTTACTGATTTGAGAGAGGAAGAGAGGAGAGAGAGATAGAAACATCAATGATCAGCTGCCTCCTGTATGGCCCCTATTGGGGATCGAGCCTGTAATCCAGGCATGTGCCCTGACTCGAATCGAACCAGCATCCTCTTGGTTCATGGGTCGATGTTCAACCACTGAGCAACATCAGCTGGGCCAGTAGTTGGTTTCAACTCTTTTTGCTTCTCTGTAGTTTTCTAATACTTTTCTACATGGTACATGCTTACTTGTGAAAATAACAATACAAAAAATAAATACAGAAATAGATGCACAGATTTAGTTTTAATTGATGAAATCTCTGTTTTCTGGAGCTTGACATTACATATCACTGTTAATGCTAACCCCTCGTTAACTTCACCTATGAGCTGCAGTAGAAATTTCCTCAGTGTCCGCCTGGGTTTTGCACCGGCCCCGGGGATGTTTCCCGGAAGACTCACCTTGTATTGTACAGCAATGGAGATGGCATCAAACAAATTTCCACCACATTCCAGCAGCTAGGGGAGACAGGGTGAGCGGGGAAGAAAAGCAAGTTGAAAAGCAAGTGTCACATCTTACTCAAGTATTATCCCAATGAAAGGATACTGGCTCCTAGGGATGGTGACCACTGATGCCCGAAGAGCTCCCAATTGCACCACACACGCTACTCTCATCGTTGCTAACGTAGGTCCGGCTTCCAAACAATGATGACCACTGATGCCTCACCTGCTACCAGGTACCAGGTTCACATTCATTCGTGTGGTTACCTACTGCCTGTCATTATCAACATTCACCTGATGCTCACACTCCGTGCTTTACATTGAACATAATAAAAACAAAGGTCTTTCATACCATTTTTTGCCCATGAGCACTAAATCTGTGCATCTATTTCTGTATTTTTTGACATTACATATCATTGTTAATGCTAACCCCTGCACTTATGTGAGCTCATGCAGCAGGAAAGCTTACAGCACATTCTTTACTTATTTTTAATATATATTTTTTACTGATTTCAGGGAGGAAGGGAGAGGGAGAGAGAGATAGAAACATCAATGATGAGAGAGAATCATTAATTGGCTGCCTCCTATATGCCCCCTACAGAGGATCAAGCCTGCAACCCAACCCGGGCATGTGCCCTTGAGCAGAATTGAACCTGGGACCTTTCAGTCCATAGGCCAACGCTCTATCCACTGAGCCAAACCAGCTAGGGCTAGAGCACATTCTTAAGTGGAAGGTGAGACACCTTCTGCCCTCATTTAAAAGAAGCCTTGGCCCGAGTTTATGGAATAAACTGGGCTACAGCAAGGAAGAATGGAGAGGAAGTCCCGTGTAGAAGGAAAGTTGTGTAGTCCCATGGTTTTGTTCAGTCTGTCTCCTCATCGTCTGAACTGTGAGCTCCCGAGGGCTGGACCCTGCGGGTTTGCTCATTCCTTTACTCTCAGAGTCCAACAGAAAGGGTGCCAGGCAGAAGGAGCCTGGAGATTATGTGAGGGAGATAGGCAGGCCCTGCGCCTGGGCCTTCCACCATGCCCAGTGCAAGTCTCTGATTCCCACCTGAAGCTTTCTGAGCAAACTTCACTGCAGACCCACCTTCCCTGTATAATTACTGCTTATTAAAATATGACCCCCCAGCCTATGTGACCACCTGGCTAGTGACTGCAGCTCATTGGTCTTGCAGCTGGACTAACTCTTCCCCACTCTGGCTCAGAGTTGACTGCTGCACAGCAAAGAGCTGTAGCAAGTCTCCTGTGTCAGACTGTCTGCATCTGACTCCTGTCCTCTCCAGGTGGCTGCATGACCATGGGCAGCACTCAACCTCTCTGTGCCTCGGAGGGTAAAAATCCCAGCTACCTCACAGAGCTGATATAAATGTTGAGTGAGTTAGTATTGGTAAAGCCCTTAGAAGTGTGCCTAGCACACAGTAGGTGTTAGCTAAGTGCATTTAAATAAAGACTGTTTGGGAGGTGGAGGATAGACACAGGGTGCAACTGCGGAGTCCACCTCCCTGGGCAGCTAGGAAGCCTGCCTCTTATCCGTAAGGACAGCCAGCGGCCAGTTCCCGCCTCCTCAAAACCAGGACCTGCACAAGTACCTGTTTGGTGGGAGGAATCACACTACGGGGCACATCTTATTGGAAACGAGTAAAAGCAAATGGACTTGTAATTGTATTACTTTTACCCATTAGCACCAGCATTCAGAACAGCGCTAACCTGCTGGTCCACTATTCATTATCTTTCAGCCATGTTCCAGCCGTTATCGAATTGCAAGTGCCCAGAAAGCCCTGCCCTGTTTCACGCAGGGCCAGCACTGGAGACAGCAGGCTGTTCCTCCTCAGAAGGTCGCCCACAAGATCAGATCCACAAGATCTGCTGTGCCCTCAGGTTCATTCAAGTACCTGTTTGGTCAATGGCTTAGCCTTGTGTCCTCAAGCTGACGTGGAAGATGTGATCACTAATCTCAAGGTTCATGACATTTAATAAAAACAAAATAGACCCATCAAGAGCCTGTACATGAACAAGCAACTGGCAAAATTAAATGAATTATGGCCCTAAGAGAAGTTACTGCCAACTGCCAAAAACTGGGCAGCAGAGTATTTGGAGGGAGAACACCAGGAAGGAAATGAGGGGTGGCTAGAAAGACACCTGCAGGAGCTGACTATGGAGGACGGAGGACGGAGGAGGGAGGAAGGGGGAGGGAGGAGGCAGGGCCTCAGGGGCCACACCTGGGAAGTGAGGGCCCCAGAGCAGGTGGGCTACGGGTTGTTTCCAAGGGAAGATGGCTCCGTGAGGTCAAGAGCAGACACCGGCCCAACCCCTGGCTTGGAGGCCTAGTACCACTATCCTCACGCTGAGACCTCTCGGGCTAGTTACTTTACCTCTCTGTGTCTTAGTTCCCTCACTTGTACATGGGGAAAAGAATCGTGCCCACTTGCAAAACATTTGTAAGGGTTACATGAAAATGCATGTAAACAGCACATCATTCCATGCAGAATGCGCCAGCTGGTCTAAATTCTGCCCCTCGACTCTGTCTGGCACCATCTAGAGAGCATCTCTTACTTTTTCTTCCCTGACAATCTCTGTGGATAATTTTAGGTGCTACCATGATATGACTGCTTGTAACTTTATTGTAGGATGGCATCACGTGTAGGCTACTTTACATATATTACTATACGTGTAATATTTTTTTAAAAAAAACTATTACAGGAGACTCATCTTTCCCTAACTAATCTCACCCTGGGAGTCGGAAGTACCCACTTGGAGAGGGAAAAAGCCCTGGGAGGAAAGTAGGCCAACTGGTCTCCGGCCGGCACAGCAACATGATCCTTACCAGCACGTCCACATAGAGGACCCAGCAGTGCTCCCGAGGACTAATGCAGAGGGACTTCAGGTCCACGCTGCTCTTGTTGCTGAATATCCGGTAGAGGGTGTTAGCAATCTCTGTGCCAAGTTCATCACCTCCTCGACCTTCAAATTCAGGGGTAGCATTGGCTGAGCTGCGCAGAAGGGAACAGAAGAGCTGGTGAGTCTTTTCAAACGCAAAGAGCAAAGGGGCAAAGCTTTACTCCAGTTGCCCTACGGAACGATGGAGAGTCACTGAAATGAGAAGGGACGGCATCTGCCACTGTTCCAGCCTCGGGACAGACACACACACTGAGCCAGACCAGCGCCGGGCCCTGGATTTGTCAGTGTGCGTGATGGGAGTTCCCCCCGACTTCTAACAGAAGACATCTTTATCCAAGGGAAACAAGAGAGCAATGGTAAAGTGAACCTCGGCCAGTAATAATTAACTCTCTTATCCTGAAAGTATAACAAATACCTTCTCTGGCAGGCCGAGGAAGCCGGAAAGCCCAGAGAATCAAACAAACAGTCTGGCTTACAGAAGGGTTACATTATATACACCATCCCTAGTTTTCACAGCTTTAGCATGCACGATGTACTCTCAAAACAAAAGCCACAACGTCAAGTACAATAACCTTCCTGGAATTTTTTTTCTGTTTTGTTTTGTGTGTTAATCCTCACCCGAGAATATTTTTTTCCATTGTTTTTTAGCAAGAGTGGAAAGGAGGGGGGGGAGGGGGGAGAGAGAGAGAGAGAGAGAGAGAGAGAGAGAGAGAGAAAGAAAGAAACATACATTGATATGAGAGAGACACAGCAATTGGTTGCCTCCCACATGCATCCTAACCAGGCCAGCGATCGAACCTGTAACCCAAGCACGTGCCCTTGACCGAGAATCCAACCCTCAACTCTTCGGTGCGCAGGCTGACACTCTAACCATTGAGTAACACCGGCTAGAGCTGGAATCTTTCAGAAGATACGTAAGATAGTATGCCAGAGCTATGTCATGAACTCTAGGTTATCACTGTACTGAACAGCAGGAGATGAAATAAGACAGACAGACTGCTGGCAGATTAAATATTAGGTTATCTCTTTTACTTTATTTGCTATTTTTCAAAGAGAAAACCTTTCTCATTCAGGCCTCTTGAATTTTGCGCCCATTTACCTCAACCACAGGTTGCTATAATTTTAGCCCTCCAGGTGTTTGAGTTAGGATTAATAAAGTTTATCCCCTTCAAAAAAAATCCAACAAGAGAATGAAGGACACATTTGACACCTGCCACCCTAAAGCACTACACAAAGTGTTTACACAGGAAATGTGGAGGGTTTTGGCTTAATGAAAAACAAACCCTTAATACATCAGTGAGGTAAGTAAACATTCCAGTGACCACTTCACTTAATGAGTAGGGCGGGGGGGGGGGGGGAGGAAAGCAGTTGTTTCAGTCTGATTTCCACAAAATCTCATGCGACCCGTGTTCCCCAGCCCGTCTGTGCATCCACACCTCCACTGGAAAGGCACCCAGCCAGATGCCAGGCACTGCATACCCAGAGACCGCAAAAAGAGAAGGCCACCCTAAGTCGGAATTCCAATGAAGTCTGGGGGCAGTTTCATTGATAGGGGAGGGAGCAAGCAGCAGGAGTGGGGGTCAGGGAGGGCCTCAATCGGTGTTGAGGGTTAGAGGAGACCTCAAACCTAAAGATGAGTACAAGTTGGTCAGGCCACAGGCAGGCAGGGTGGGGGTGTGTGCGTGCCTGTGTGTAATGTCCCCTCTGTCTACTCCATTCTAATGTAGGCATAAAAATGAACCCTAAAATGACCAAAGTGTGCTGTTGTATAAAACTCTGCCTCTCTAATCAGACAGTCCTCCCTGACCACTATCAGCCCGCAGAACCCCAATTTAAAATCCCTGAGAAACTTCACTGCTGCCATAGCAACCTCGCTGGTCTCTCCCCGCCTCTGCTGGACTCAGGCACTGAGCCATGAAAAAAAGCTCATTTGTGGCGAAATAATCAAGTCACCGGGGACCAAGTTTATTTTGCACAGCCAGCAAAACACAATCTGTTCCTAATTCAAACACTAAGCAATCAGTATAGAGTCCCATCTTTTAAGTGTTTAAAACACATCTACATAGATCTCTGTGTAGACAAATCCAGTCCGAGATGCTTACACTTCAAATGTTTTCCTTTCCCTGATTATAGTGGGTCATATCCTCCTGGGTGTGACTGATTACCCAGGGAGGAGGCAGTGACTCCTCCACATCCCTGAGGGGTGGTTTACAGAACTTCCAGGTCCAACTGGCTAAATTAATCCACCTACAAAACCATGCCCCATTGTGTTTTTTGGGCACTGGGCTAATTTAAAGTGAAATTTTCCCCATATTTACAGTGTTGGTTTTGTGTGTGTTTTTTTCCTTTTCTTCAACATATCCTTTCAGCATAGCTGGTAGATGGGCAGAAAAGAAAGCTTCGAGGCGGATGAGACTTAGGAAGCTCCTGCGTCTGGATGGTGCCCTGGCCATGGAGTGACTCTGGGGAAGAGGCTGGGGAGAAGGAAACTGCTCAGGGTGGGGATGGGGTGTAGTGCTTTGGGTACAATGAGAAAAGCCAGAGACCCTGTATCCTGACAAAGGATGAAGAGAAGAGATGCAGCAGAAAAAGGAGGGTCCCTCCTCACCACTAGGGGCGCCCACAGCACAAGGACCCTTTCTGATAAAGCCCATCAGAAACGCAGACCTGGCAAAGCCTTAGAGGCCATCTCCAGAGGACCACAAACCAAACGCCTACAAGCATCTGAACAGAGAGCCACATGTATAATTAACAGGGAGTGATGGAGACTGGCAAACTCTCAGGCCCTGTCATCTTTAATAAAAGCCTCCATTAGTGAAACAAAAATCTTGCAGGTGGGTTGTGGCCTCAGATGGTCAGACGCTCTCGCTTTACAAGGAAGGAAACTTAACAACTTTTTTGGAATGTTCACCACGTGCTAGACAGCATTCTGAGCACTTTAGATGTATTAACGCATTGAATTCTCACGAGCCTAGAGGTTGGCACTGTTACTGACCCCATTTTAGAGACAATAAAACCGAGTCACAGGAAGGTTGTGTAACTCGCCCAAGGTCACACACCCAGTGACTGGGGAGCTAAGATTCTAAACCCAGGCAGCCTGGCCTTGTCTGCTGGGCTTCACTGGACTCTCCCTGAATGTGCTACTTGGCACGTCTGGCTTGTGGCCTAACATCGGTCAGGTTAGCCTCCCTTATGCCTCACAGTAATGAATGGGTACTCCGGTCTTGGGAACTACTACTAGGGCACAAATGATGGAGTCAAGGAATGTAGACCAAGGGAGTCCTAAACAAAAAGCTTCTCTATTGAGTATGAAGTTTAAAGAGAGAGCAACACAGGCTGGCAATCCTAGCCCCCTGCTCATAGGCATCATAATACATTCTTCCAGGGGGAGAATATACACTAAGGTGTTTTTTAGCATAAAACCAAGTGCTTTTATTTTTATAGTTACCCAAACCAACTCAGATCCTTCATAAAGAACCAGCCCTCCAGGGCTGTTGGGAAATTGCTTACTGAGCTGGCTAAACTAATAAAAATCTTGGGAACACTGCCCCTCCCAGTTCTCCACCCCTCCTGACTCATCACCTCTACTCCGCTCCTCTGCTCAGCACTTCTCTCCTGGTTTAACTGGGGTAGGCTGCGATCAAGGCCACGGCTACCTGCAATGGGACTCAGACACTAGGCCCATTGTTGCTTCCCTTACAACTGACCTTGCCTGCGAACGTGGAGGCTGACAGCCAGGCCAGGCCCGGCCCATGGCAGCCGGGTGATTTAGTGGGTACCGGGCCAAGGCTGACTCAGGACACCTCCACAGTCATCTAACCCCCAGGCAGGTCCTGAGCCTCTGACTCACGTGCTCATCTCTGAGCCTACCGAAGCGTCCCAGTAAATGGGTTGGGCACAGCAGCACATTCGGAGCTTGTCACCTAAACCCTTGTTTGAAGTCCCTGGGAGAGTTATCTCATCAACTTTCAAAGTACAGCCAGCCTCGAATGGCTTCTGCAGGTTCCGCTCTGCCTGGCCCCACACCTGGCCCTTCAGCCAAGAACAGTGCCCCCTTTGGGCAGCACCAAGCAGGTAAGGAATAGATCAAGTGGGTCCACCCACCAATTCAGGGCACAAAACTTGTGGTTCAACACTAGTGTGAAGCACAAGTGATCACCCTGAAAAGTAAGTCCCAAAGGCAAGTGACGAGGGCTGGGCATACTGAAATGCCTATGAATGAAACGTGTGCTCTTCAATCATTAAACACTGAACGCTCTCTGAGAGGCTAAACCAGCCCCTAAACCAGCCGTGGGCAAACTACGGCCCGCGGGCCGGATCCGGCCCGTTTGAAATGAATAAAACTAAAAAAAAAAAAAAAAAAAGACCGTACCCTTTTATGTAATGATGTTTACTTTGAATTTATATTAGTTCACACAAACACTCCATCCATGCTTTTGTTCCGGCCCTCCGGTCCAGTTTAAGAACCCATTGTGGCCCTCGAGTCAAAAAGTTTGCCCACCCCTGGTCTAAACCCATCAACAGGGTGGTCGGACAGCTGAGAAGCGGCTTGATGGATTGCCACCTAGTGGTAATCCAGAGTGACAGTTCATTCAATTCTTACCTTTCTCTAGACTTTAGATGGAAACCATCTTTTCCTAAAGTCTCCAAGTTCTTATTTAAAATGGCCTATTTTCAGGCAACATCTAACAAAGACCTGAGCAGGAAGTGAGAAGGCCTGGTCGGCTCCGGGTCCAGTGAGAGTGCTGCCAGGCTTCCCTGGCGCAGAGCTTGCAACCCAGCTCTTGCTCCACTGGCACACGGTCAGGGTCAGAGCAGCGGTGGGAGGAAGTGTCCTCTACCCCAGATGCCTGCATTCCAAGTACACAAACTGAAGTGGAATGAGTTAGCAGAAAAGCACTTCATCTTCTGAGACCCCTCTAGCTCTGGGAACTTAATAATTAAAACCTGGAAGCAGCTGGTAAGTACTTGTCAAACTGGGCTCAGATGGGCAGGAAAGGACCCTTCCCGCTGGGTAAGAATTCAGTTTCAGCCTTGAGCCTCCGGCGGAGGCCCCATCCCTGGGGGCTGGGGAAGAGGAGGACAGCACCCCTATTTCTGGGCACTATTCCCTGGATCAGAATGAAGGGGTTTGTCTGTTATGCAATTTAGAGTTGCTCCCTGCAGACTCAAACAGGTTCTGAGAGAAGTACAGCCAGTGGCGCTTGGTAATCTCTCCCTTCTCCGTAGGAAAACGGGGTTTTACGAATCTCTCATGATACTTCTACCTGCTGGGCTGATCGCACTAACGGAGCCACTTACAGATTTACAGTGTGCCACCTGAGACTATCAATCTTGAGAAAGAGATTCAGAGATTGGGAACTGGAGCTTCTAGGCCTGTTGGGGTTCTCCTGAGATTTACAAAGGGGGAAAGAGGCCAGCAGGCAGCCACTCAGCCAGGACAGAGGCTCGGTCCTAGAAGCCAGGTCTTGGGAAAGGCAGCTCAAAGGCTTCTCTCAACCTAGAGCCACCCTCCCTTTAAAGCTGGGACAAGAAAGGGACGAAAGCAGCAGGCAGATGTTAAGTCACCTTCAGACACAGAGCCACCCATGGAAGTTCTGGGACTTCTAAGCAGAACACCCCTCCGAAGCCAGCTCCACAGGCTGCACGAAGTAGAAAGAGCAAAGACTCAGAGTCGGACAGAACCAGGTAAGTGACACCCAGGAAGCTCACGTACCCGCTTTGAACTCATGTCCCTCATGAACGGTGAGAGGTGGACTTCTGTTTGGACGTGAAGACGGGAAGACTAGAACTTACTATACAAATGGGGGTTAGCACCTGCACAGAAAAGCGTTCTGGCTCTCAGAGTGTTCCCAGGAATCTGTGTCTACTGGTGTAGACTGTTTCTGCAAAAATATGGTTCACGCTGAACAGTTGCTTGCTTCCTAGGAGCCTGGTATTGTGGTGTGTGTGAAGCAGAGGGTGCTTACATGACCAGCAGCCAAAACTATCTTGGGTGCTGAGTTTCTAATGGGTTCTCTTTCAGAATCATCTTGGGCACACATGTTGCTGCATTTTGTTGCTGTCATAAATCTTAGTCGTGAGTACAATTATATGCTAGTCCTTCCAGCAAGTCTCTGAATGTGGGGTCGTCTTGGGGACCCAACACAGTGTCAGTAATACATACCTGTGCCTAACATGAGCCAATAGCCGGACCCACCCAAGAAGGCCTGTGTCATCACCTCGCTAGAAGTGAGGTTACAGACAGAAGACGAGACTGGGTCAGCAACCCGATAAACCACCCAACCCCTAGAAGAAGGAGGTCACCAGAGGGAGAGAAATGTCACTTATGGAAAGCCCACTGGGAGCCAATCGTCATCCTAGGTGCTCTATCTTCATGATCTCATTTCCTTATCATCACAAAAGTATTATCGCCCCCATTTTTTAGATTAAGAAACAGAGGCACAGAGAGACTGAGTAACCAGCCAGAGGTCACACAGGTGAGAAGAAGCCAGCATCAGGCTGGCTGACGGCTGCAGAGACTGCGGAGTCTGCTCTTCCCAGCACCCACTGCCTGTCTGGCTGCCACAACCTCGGCCTGTCAGGCTGCTTGGCTGGCTCTAGTCCTTGCTCTGCCAAGCAAGTCATGAGAAGTTTTCTGGAAAGCTAGAGCAGAGAAGGAAACAGGGCATTTTAGACCAAATGATCCTTATCATCTGCGTTTGATATTTTTCAAATCATCCATCATCTCATGTGACTCTCATAACCACCACGAGCTGGGCAGCCTGGCAGACACCCTCCTTTCAGACAGGGAAAATGAGGCCCAGCGAGGGCCAGGTGGCCAGGGCAAGGGCAGAACTTGACCCAACGTCTCTTTCCAATATCCCAGGGCCTGGCACCTCGGAGGAACTCAGTAAATACCTGCTGGCTGGCTGAATGACAATTCAATACCAAGTAAAAGTGGATTAACAGGAAAACAGAGGTTCATCCTCTGAATCGTCATCTTTCAAATTGTTTTTCTTTAAAAAGAAATTGGCATAGTACTGACCAGTCAACAAAGAACTCCAAGTAACCTTCATTTGGCTTCTCCAGCTTCGGCGTCCCCATCTCTGCTTTCACTCCCACCAGGATGTCCGTGTGACCCTGCAGACATATGCGAGAAGGGTCCTCACTCCGGGCAGGCAGCCAGGCACCCGACCACCTCCCTCCTCCCCCTGACGTACACCCCTGGGACTCCCTTAAGAGCAGTGCTGGGGTTGGAAAGTGACCCTTTGAGAAGATGAGGGGTCCTTCAGATCTAGAGAGTCCCCCGCCCAGAGTTTGGCTTGGGTCTTGGATTTTCCCCTAAAATCTGTGTGGCAAAAGCCTGGAGGGGCCTGCGGCTGGTCCCGTAGGTCCTCCCCATTCCTCCAGCGAGGCATGGGTGGACTGTGGCCACAGCACTCACCAGCTTGACCCTGGCAGACCCACTGGTGTTGGACACCACGTCGGTTTCCACTTCGACACATCGGTAGTCCTCACATCCACGGCCATCCACGCGGAGGTCTTCCTACGTGCAACAACCACAATCCGCAGGCTGTGATCCCAAACCAACAACAGACCCCTGAGGCAATTCACCCCTTTTCATTCCCCTAGAGCAGTGGTTCTCAACCTTCCTAATGCCGCGACCCTTTAACACTTGGAGTGCTGGAAACGAGTTAAGTCGGCTCGCGTGAATTGCGCGTACTCCGCGGGAGCCGTCTTTAACTCGGTTCATATAGATTTGCGGTGGAGTGCGGGAAACGTGTAAACTCGGGCCGATTGTAACTGCGTATTACCAAATATTTGTTTGTAATCCACCCTTTTGGTGGATGGAACAAAACCAAAAGACAGAGCCATCTTATATTTTGGCGGGAAATTCACCCGCACTCCAAGTGTTTAATACAGTTCCTCATGTGGTGGTGACCCCCAACCACAAAATTATTTTCGTTGCTACTTCATAACTGTAATGTTGCTACTGTTATGAATCGTAATGTAAATATCTGACATGCAGGATGTATTTTCATTGTTACAAATTGAACATAATTAAAGCATAGTGATTTATCACAAAAACAATATGTAATTACTAGAGGCTCAGTGCACGAATTTGTGCACGGGTGGGGTCCCTTGGCCTGGCCAGCGATCAGGGCTGATTGGGGCAGTCTTGCCCAGTCTTGGGGTAGGGACTGCAGGAGGTTGGCTGGCCAGCAGGAGGGACCACAGGAGGTTGGCTGTGGGAGCACACTGACCACCAGGGGGCAGCTCCTGCATTAAGCGTCTGCCCCCTGGTGGTCAGTACCCATAATAGCGATCGGTCGACCAGTCATTCAGTCGACCAGTCATAACGGTCACTTAGGCTTTTATATATATAGATATATGTGTTTTCTGATGGTCTTAGGCGACCCCTGTGAAAGGGTCGTTCGACCCCCAAAGGGGTCGCGACCCACAGGTTGAGATCCGCTGCCCTGGAGAAATGTGCAGTACATCTTCCTTTCTTAGTGAATCGGCCAAGCTTGCCAACCCTGATGCTGAAGATGGGTTTCAGAGTGGACCAGGTAGTGCTTGTCCCTTATCTTATTTACTTCTTCAATCACTTACTATGTCAGTGTTAGCTCACAGATGTCTTTTATAGCTATAATCCAATACTTTCATTATTCATCTTGTAGCTCCAGATTTGGCCCCTGGGAGCTCCTTTGGGTGGGTTCCTGCGTTCTTTCAACATGCCTCCTATCTTTTTTGAGCACTTCTTTATGTTCCAACAACATAAGACGTCCCAGGCTCTTGTATTTTCTCTGCCCCTGCCCCTGCCCCTGCCCCGGAATCAGCCCTTTCTCCAAGGACTGCTGGTTACTTTTATTGGAGAAAAACCAGGATCTGAGTGCTAAGCCGGTTCGTTGCTGCAGGGGTATCATTGCTTCTAGAGCTTCCCAGCAGACAGAGCTAGAAAACATATGTATGTACACTAACCCATGCACACACAAACACACACACACACCTGTAGTTATTTCTGTCTATCCACATATCTATGAAAAAGCCACGTTCTCACACTGATAATTGTTTCTAACCTTCCTCCTGTCCTAGGTGTAACTTCTCTCTCAGACAGGGAGAAACCTGGCTTTCATGATCTACAATGCATTTAGGTATTTGTTAAATCTTAGTATACACATAGTTTCAGAACTTCTAACCCATACCCCGTGAGAAACAAATGTTCTAACAGAGAACAGTATTACACAGAATTCTTTTTGTCTTTAGCCTATGATACCCACTCAAAACACTGTTTTCCAATTGTCTTCCCCCATCCCTCCATGCAGCCCTGTTACTCATTTGCAGCAGTCTGTGTTCCAGTCTGGGTCCCCCACATCCTGGTTACTTTTAATTACTTATTTACTTTTTGGGTATGTGGACTATCACCATGGCTCTGGGAGTCAAAGCCATCAGAAAAGGTGTGCTCAGAGAAATGTCACTCCCAATGCATCCCACTCCCCTCTCCCACCACACGAGGCAGGTAACCAATCTCTTTTGTTCCCAGGCCATCTTTTCTGTGTTTCCTTTGCACAAATGAGCTGATACATGAATATTGTAAATATCCCCTTCTTACATAGGGTGGCCTACTACTGATACTCTTTGTTTCTTTTTAACATTTTATTTATTTTTAAAATATATTTTTATTGATTTGAGAGGAAGGGAGAGGGAGATAGAAACATCAATGATGAGAGAGAATCATTGATCAGCTGCCTCCTGCACACCCCCTACTGGGGATCGAGCCCACAACCCATGCATATGCCCTTGACCAGAATCAAACCTGGGACCCTTCAGCCCATAGGCAGACGCTCTATCCACTGAGCAAACCAGCTAGGGCTTACACTTTTCATATGCATGAAATCATTCCCTGTCAGCTAGCTCATAGAGATCTTCCTCCTTTGTAAACACTGAAAGCAGTTTATTTATTTTTTCCAGAAAAGGAATCTTTAGAATCAGATTCTCAAAGGGGTTAATGCTCCTCCAAACACTAACAAATACAGTCCTGAAGCGTGCTGTCAGAGGCTTATCTTTAAACTACCTGGCAAACTGCACGTGACTGACTTTTTTTATCTTGAGCAATTAAAATATAAACAGGCAAAACACTGCGTGCTCCCACCACACAGAACCAACTACCATTGGTCACGTGTGTTTCAGGTTTTTTTTTTTTACTCTCTCAACTCTTGCAAGCCCCTCCACTTCCTAGTCCCCTCCCTGAAGGCAATCCCTATCTGAGTCTGGGGAGAGGTGGACTTAAAAAGTAACAGGATTTCAAGTCTGGGAGAATGAGCCTCTGGGGAGAACTCAAAACTATGTAACCGTCTCTTCACCACTCGCCACCGAACACACAGCTTTCTAGGTCAATCTCTGACTCCCGTTTGCCACATCCCCCGGATGTGCCCGGCTAGGAAAGTGAAAACCTGGCCCAGAAACATCACTCACAAGGGACCCTTCACAGGCTGCAGGCCTGGTACAAGTGTGAGCAATCACAGGAGCATCAGTCACGGGTTCCAGGCCTGGTCCTGCCATAAACTAGCTGCTTGACCTCTAGGTAGGACAAGTCCCTCCCCCGATAGACTAGTTTCCTTATTTACAAAAGAGGACGTGGAAGTAAATGGCCTCAGAGGTGCTTCTCTAATTCTACAGATCTATACACCAAAATAGCCACAATTATTTGTAAAAACTAATAGTAACTATTTTGTTTTAATCCTCACCCGAGGATTTTCCCATTGATTTTTAGAGAGAGTGGAAGAGAGAGGGAAGGACAGAGAGAAGCATCGATGTGAGAGAAACACATCAATTGGTTGCCTCCCGTGGGAGCCCCTACCAGGGCCTGGGCCGGGGAGGAACCTACAACCAAGGTACGTGTTCTTGACCAGAATTGAACCCGGGACCCTTCAGTCCACAGGCTGACGCTCTATCCACTGAGTCAAACCGGCTAGGGCAGTAGTAACTATTATTTAATGTGCATTTACCATATATGAGATAATGCTCTAGAAACACTCCACAGTTAACACATTGAATCCATTATGCAAACAGAAAAATGGTTGAAAGATGCTAAATGGCTGGCCTGGGGTCTCACAGCCAGTAAGTAGCACTTTAATTCCAAGCCAGAGCTCTTCACCGCCACTCCACACCACCGGCTGCATTCTAAAGGGTCTCTTCACTGTGCAACAGGACCCCACAGGCCTCCCTCACAGGATGGACTGGCTGGCTATACCAGTTGGTCTTGATGATGGTGATAACGGCTCTGAAAGCAAGGAGACCTCAAGGCTGCACGGCTTCCAACTACTGCCTTAAAACACCACTCACTCTGGGGAGATCTAGCCACACCCCTTTGTAGTAACAACCCACATACTTGTTCCAGGATGGGGTGGGGAGCGGGGTCCTGGTGGTGGTAAAAAACTTGGGCCTGGCCAGATCTTGCCTTTGCAGCCTTCGAATCACATCTGCCCCAGGGAAATGCTCAGTGGTAAAGGTTCAAGTGACAAGAGGCGAACAGAAAGCTACAAATTTTCCTTTCAAAGGATACATCAACTACAAATTTTTTTTCATAGAAAAAAGCACTCAAAAGAATATAAGATCAGCCGAAACCGGTTTGGCTCGGTGGATAGAGCGTCAGCCTGCGGACTGAAAGGTCCCAGGTTCGATTCCGGTCAAGGGCATGTACCTAGGTTGCGGGCATATCCCCAGTAGGAGGTGTGCTGGAGGCAGCTGATCGATGTTTCTCTCTCATTGATGTTTCTAATTCTCTATCCCTCCCCCTTCCTCTCTGTAAAAAATCAATAAAATATATTTAAAAAAAAAAAAAAAGAATATAAGATCAAACCAAAAACACCAAACAAACTAGTCCACGAGTCACTGTACTCAAGGCAACTTTTTTTAAAAAAGTCCAGTTTTCCTCCTAACAGACAGGAAATCACCCAAACCTGCGCGGTCTGGCTCATGGCCTGACACCCTACCATGGTTTTTATTCACCTGCCGTCCTCAGGAGCAGGGGAACGCATCCATGTGTGAACACGTGAGAACAGGGGCTGCCCTGAACTGAGGCTTCATGTGAAAACCAATAGAGATGTCAATAAATGATGGGCCGCACCTTGGGGAGCCCGGTCCTTCTCAGCAAGCGACAAAACACCTTTTCAGATCCAGGGCTTCTGGGTGCTGGGATGGCTCCGGTGCCTTTTAGGTTGCTACCTATGTGATCATGACCTGCCGGTCGGGTGTGGTGTGGAGTCACCTCCAATCTGTATTTAATTCTCTGCTGTCACAGACCAGCTTTGTGACCTTGAGCAAGTTCCTCAACAGCTCTGAGCCTGTCTCTTCACCTAGAAAGCAGGACTAACCCTGACCTTACAGAGTTACAGGAGAATCTGAAAACCCTAAATCATTTACGGGGACCTTTCAGCTCAGTCTAGCACATGGCAGTCCATAGGCAGTTCCCTTCTCCTGCTTCTGGGGGAAGGTATCCGCTCACCGAATCCTCAAAACCCTGAAGAGAGGTGTCAGATAAGG